TGAGTTGTCAGTTCGTTGCTGCTGGATGTGCAACATGGGAGTCCTCCAGACCAGGATGGGATAGGTGATGGTTTTTTGTCCAACTTCATTTGTCTGTGCCCTCTAAAACATTCCCAAAAGCCTTTCTGGGCCGCATTCCTCGTGTAGTGCCATGGGGTCCTGGTACCTGAGTGCCAGTCCCTCCATCTCTTCACCTGAGGAGGATGATGCCCATCCCCAGGACTGTTCCCCAGGCATCCCATGGGACTCATGGATCCCTCAGGGCTGTGGCCATCACTGCAACATCCCCACATCCAGAGGCTCCAGAGAGACAGGTGTCTGTGAGGAGAGCCCATGCTGAACCAGCCCCATGATCCTGGTGCCCAACCTTCACCTTCTCTTCTCCTCCTAGATGGACCCAAAGGCAGTAAATCCATCCGGCAGAAGCTGGAGAGCTTCTCAAAGGAGAGGAAAGGTGAGCAGCCTCCCCTTTCCCTGGGGTTTGGTCCCTGCTCTCAAGTGGAATTGGTGATTTTTGGTGGGGTGAGTTGGGAGGTGCCTGAATCCAGCAGGTTGCTTCATCCCAGGTTGTTTTGCTGTTTTTGGAGTGAGGTGAAGCAGCACGAACGTGATGGAACCTGGAAGGATGGAATATACACATAAACGTGCATTTCCAAGCTGTTTATAAATGTTGCATATAAATGTTTCTATCTGCCCATTTTTGCCCCAGTCTCGCTGCTTCCAGTTCCATTTTATCATCCCTTGAAGGATTTCAGTGACAGCCCTGGGGAACCCAGAATCCTAGAGCAGAGCCAGGCAGGAATGAGCTTCCCCACACCAGTACAAAGCCAACTCAAGGAAACTATTGAAATTATTGTCTCATATTTTACTAAATGGATTTGTGGCTTGTGCTCCCGGGGTAGTGCAGAGTCTGGGGGTGAGGAAAGCTCTCCTTGTCAGAGGGATGGAGAGGGACAGTTATTTGGGAAGAATACCACTAATACCAAGGCTGTTCTATGTCAGCAGATGTAGCTGAGACAAACCCTGTAGAAAACTGGAGGGTTAGGATTTGGGAAGAATCTTTTGGTTTGGATGTTTCTGGTGATTTATGAAGTCTTTGCTTCATGGCCTCATAAGCCACCAGCGTGCTTATAACAAACGTGGATAGAGCCTTCCTAAAAATTCCTAAATCTTCGTTTCCGAAGCCTAGCCATGATGATGAGTGAACGAGCTTCATAGGTACCATGGCATCTTCATGGTGTTGGAACCAGTAATATGAAAGAAAGCCCAGGAAACACTAGGACAGGCTCCAACAGGCTCTCTGATGGAGACCAGTTTTCTTTCCCAGCTCCCCTGTGTCTCTTTCCTCTTCCTCCAGCATCCCAAATCCCATGCCATGCCCTCCCTGCTCAGATCTCTGGCACTCAGGGTCCCACCATGCAGTGCCCTGGTGCTTTCCAGGGGCAGCAGCCTCCTCTGGGTTTGCCTGGGCCCTTGGGAATGCTCTTCCCACCTGCTCCTGGGGGCAGAAAACCTGGACTGAGTGCAGCTCCCTCCCCGGTGACGCTTTTCCCTTTCTCCCGTGTTGTTCCCCAGACTGCTCTCCTCACACCTTCGGGATCCCGCTCTCCCAGGTCATTGCCAACGACCGCGCCCACCGGCAGCTCCAGGAAGCCGTGGGGAAGAGTCGCCGGCTCTGCCTGGAGGTGGAGGCCACAGTGACCAGGTTTCGGGCTCAGAGGCAGAAGAAATCTGGGATGGGCCCAAGCTGTGTCCGAGCACCTGGTGGGGGCTTCCCAGAGGAGCCGCTTTCCCCAACTCTTCCGGACAAGAGCTTCTGGAGCCAGCGAAGGGTACGGTCCCAAAACGGGCTGTGATGGTGCTGTAGGATGGGGGGTCTGAATTCAGCAAGAAATGGGATTTTCCTGGGTCTTTTCTTAACAAATCTAAGTCAGTCGTGCTCCATGCAGGGCTGGTCCCAAGTTGCCCTCAGGGAAATGAGGATGGCCCTGCTCCCCCTGGAGAGGGACTGTGAGAGGTGGGAGGATCTTCACCAGCTGAGCTCTTACTGAGCCAGGGTTACCAGGAGGACATTTCAGGGTCAGGAGGGTCAGTTTATGTCAGATATGGATAAGAAATTCTCCCCTGTGAGGGTGGGGAGGCCCTGGCATAGGTTGGTCAGAGAAGCTGTGGCTGCCCCATCCCTGGAAGTGTCCAAGGCCAGGCTGGACAGGGCTTGGAGCAACCTGGGCTAGTGGAAGGTGTCCCTGCCCATGGCAGGGGGTGGAATGGGATGCTGCCTTTTCCCACAAACCTCTGAGGTGGCAGTGAGCACTGGGATCTGTGGGGTCATTCCTGCCACCCCCCTGCTCCATCCCAGGGGGCCATGTCTGTGGATTCCATCGCCGACCTGAGTGACAACGTGTCCAAGCTGCTGGAGGCACTGCAGCTCTCACACCCCCACGAACTGGACCCACGGAGAGTCCTGGGCAAGAAGAAGATGCTGAGCCTCAACCCCATCACCTGGCAGGTCCCACGGATCGTGGAGAGGTGCTGCACACACATTGAGACGCACGGTAAGGGCGTGGGTGCCTCCGGCAGGTCCCGTGAGAGGCAGGAAAAACCCACTGTGTGTGGTGGGCTGGGACATTCCAGCCTGGCCATTCCCCAGAGTGGGAGGAGGCTGCTGGTTTAGTGGGCATGGATTCGTTTGAAGGTCGGATCCGATGATCTTGGAGGTCTTTTCCAACCTTAAATGATTCCACAATTCCGGGGGCAGCCCATGCTCCCAAAGAGCCACCTGTGGAGAGTCCTCTGGGCTGGAAGCTGCATCAGAAGGGAATGTCACTGTGTGTATCAGTGACCATGTCTGGTGCCTTAACTCCCACTGCACATCCAGGCCCTCCCTCAGAGCAACTGTAGGGATGAGCTCTCCTCCCTTGCCTACAGACAATCCCAGAAAATCTCGCAGCTCCACAACCTTTCCTTTTCCCCACGCTGCCTGCAGAGGGAAGGGTGCACACGAGAGCCCCTGCTATGGTGCTGAGGTGCTCCCAGGACCAGCTGGGGTGGCAGGGATCTGTGGGGATGCCCAGCACTAACCTGCCTGTCTCCCAGGTCTCCAAACAGTGGGAATCTTCCGTGTTGGGAGCTCCAAGAAAAGAGTTCAGCAGGTAAAGGGAGACTTTTACTGCGTCCTTGTGGCCATACCACATCCAAAGGTCAGAGGCTTGTATGGATGGGGATGAATAGAACAGGCACTGGTGTGGAGAGGTCTAAAACATCCCAGGCTGGATCACAGGCAGCCTAGGTCCTGCTGCTGGGTCCTTCTTCCAGCCAGGAGACCAGTCCAGCTCCTTCCCTCCAGCCTGTCTTTGGCAGACGAGCCTCCATCCCCTGGTTGGCACTTCAGAGCCATGGGCTCCATCTGGTCCCACGGCCCATCCAAAGGGCAGCAGAAGGCTGCTGGGCTCTGACACACCTTTTTGGGGTGCCCTGCTTTGGGGGGACATTGGGAGTAGCTGACCCTTGTATCCTGCCATGGCAGTAGCCCTCCTGACAGGATGACTCCCCCAAAGAGTAAGAACTGACCGTTGCGTTATTCTTTTCATCTCTTCCATCTCTGAGCTGAGGGAGGAGTTTGACCAGGGGCTGGATGTTTTTTTGGATGAGCATCAAAGTGTTCACGATGTGGCTGCTCTGCTCAAAGAGTTTCTTCGGGATATGCCGGATTCCCTGATTCCCAGAGAGCTCTATGGAGCCTTCCTCAGCACAGCCAGTGAGTACCTGCAGAGCGGAGACTGCACAGAGTCAGGGAATGGTTTGGGTTGGAAGGGACCTTAAAGCCCATCTCATTCCAGCCCCCTGCCATGGGCAGGGACACCTTCCACTAGACCAGGTTGCTCCAAGCCCCATCCAACCCGGCCTTGGACACTTCCAGGGATGGATCCTTCCTCACCACCCTCCTTTTCCAAAACCACTGGACAATGGTGGGATGGGTGACGTGCTGCCTGGCACTGCCATGGGCAGTTACTCTCATCTGTGGGTTTGGGGGATTTTTTTAAAAATTGGATTATAATAATCCCTCTGGACCAGGACAGTCTTTGTCTGTGGGGCTGTGCAATACACAACCCCATCACATCACAGCCCTTGCTGGGGTCTCTCATCCCATGGGATGAAGGATGGGACACCAGCCTGGCTTCCTCCCGAGCTCTTTCCCGTGGGTGTAGAGGAGGGCTGGAAGTGCCTGGTGGGCTGGAATCCTCACTAACAGCTGCTCTCTGCCCAGCCATGGAGGGGCCAGCACAGCTGGATGCCCTCCAGCTGCTTCTCTTCCTGCTGCCCCCCTGCCACAGTGACACCCTGCACCGGCTCCTGCGCTTCCTCGGAGAGGTGGCCCGGCACGCCGAGCGCTCCTGGGATGCTGATGGCCAGGAGGTGAGGCTGATCCAAAGGGAACCACTGCATGGGGAAGGGGTGCTCAGGCTGCAGTGGTTAGAACCGAGCAGAGCTGCTGCAGGCCTAGGTGAACCCTCTGGAAAAACCAAATCCATCACAGAACCATTTAGGTTGGAAGAGCCCTCCAGGATCACCGAATCCAACCTGTGACTGATCACCTGAGTGACCTTGTCACCCAGACCAGAGCACTGAGGGCCACATCCAGGTGTTCCTCCAGTCCATCTGGAGGGATGGGGACTCCACCACCTCCCTGGACAGCCCCTTCCAATGCCTGACAACCCTTTCTGTGAAGAAATTCCTCCTGATGTCCAGCCTGAACCTCCCCTGGCACAGCTTGGGGCTATGTCCTCTTGTTCTGTCAAGACAGGATGAATCCCATGTCCACAACAGGCCTGTGTGGCTCAGGCTGGCTCAGAGATTTTCAGGGTGCCAAAAAACCCAGAGAGACCTGGCTGTGTGTCCACAGGCAGCACAAGGGGCATTTTTTGTGGACTGATTCTGGTTTCCCACCTCCCAGTTCCATGAAGTCACTTGTGTGACTGTATGTTGAGGTTGATTTTGATTTCTCTAGACAGCTCCGAGTCTCTCCATGATTCAGGTGCTGGTTTTGTCCCCTAATGGGAGATGATAGGGAAATATTGATCCTTGGTAGGGGCTGGGAACGTGGGACATGTGGGAATGGAGGCAAGGAGGGGATGAGCGTGTGCTTCAGCACCTTTGTGCTGGTCCTGACACCAGCTCAGAGAGGACCAAACTGGACCCAGACCATCACCCCAGCCCCACCCACCAGCTCATGTTCCTGCCCTGGAGTGGGTGACAATATCCTGGGACATCCCATGCTGGTACTTCCATAATCCTCAGTTTCCCTTTGTGCTTCCTTGCTAGGTTCCTGGGAATAAAATGACAGTTTCAAACCTGGCCACAGTCTTTGGTCCCAACATCCTGCAGAAGGAGAAGCCTGGAGAGAAAGACGCTGGTGCCCTGAACTTTGAGGACAGCGCTGCCATAATCCTGGTGCTCCAGAGGCTGATCGAGCACCACCAGGCCCTGTTCATGGTAGGTGAGGCTCCTCAGGGCAGCTCCTCCAGACCTCCCTTCCCTCTGAACTCTCCCAGTGGCAGCAGAGCAAGGGGGTGTTCACAGCCCTGCCCAGGAGCAGGTGACTCTAGTTGGCTTTGGGAACACGGCTCATTCCTCACGGCGTAAATATGGATTTGGGATGGCTTGATTTGGGTGCCATCATAAGGGCACAGCTGAGGGTTGTGCCGTGGAGGTCCCCTCTTCTCTGGCACCTCCCACCTTGGTGATGTCTGACCGAGCTCCTCTGGGACAGGGAACATCTGGCCAACAGCAGGGGTGGCATCTGGGGGCTGTTTCTCCCCCAGACTCCCAGTGAGGGGGGAAAGAAGTTGAAAAATGGGAGAGCCTAGAATAGGGAAGGAGCTGGAAAAGGATGGCATGGGGTGGAGTGCCAAAGCCTCAGGCAGGTGTGGGCAAGATGTAACAGCAGGGAGAGCTGGTGAGGGCAGTGAGGGACCACTTCAGATCACTTCAGATCCACTCTTCAGCAGGAGTCAGGCAGTGCTCATCTCATACTGGGGGATGCATCGCCCTGGGATTCCCAAAAGCTTCTTTTAGACTCATATAAAGGCTCATATGGGAAGAAGAGAGCTCTGGGCCTCCAGACCAGCCAGATCAGGGCTGCAATCCGGCTGGGCTTTACTTCTTTCCAGGGATGGGGAGCTGTGACCTCTCCAGGTCCTGTCCCAGGGCTGCACCATCATCAGGGGAAGGTTTTTGTCCCTGTCAGAGGTGCCCCTGCTGCACCTTGGTTTGTGCCCATCCTCTGTGATGGGTCTGGCTCCATCCTCTCTCCACCCTCCCACAGGATACTTGCAGGCAACAAGAGCCCCCACAGGCTTATGAGAATGGGACATTTCAGTCAAAAAGCTTCATAGCAATTTTGGGGGTCTGCGGGGAGCCAAAAGACCAGGGTTGCTGGGGGAAAAGCGGGGGCTGAGATCCTGGAGAGCCCGGGAGGTGTGTGGGATGTGACACCAACATGGTGTGTCCACGACCACGTATTGTCCTGGAGTCCTTCCCCTGTCCTCGGCTGCCCCTGCTCATCCTCCTGCCGAGGGGGACCCCAGGAGTGTGTCCGTGTGTGCCCCCAGGTGTCTCCAGAGATGCAGTGTGACATCCTGAGGAGGCTGTTCCAGACAGATCCCGATGTCATTGACTACCTGCTGCGCAGGAAGTTCCCTGCCGTGCCGTAAGTCCCCACGAGGCTCCTCCCTGCACGGGGCCAACCCTGCTGATCTTCCTCCAGCCTTCCTCTTCCCTCCACTGCTTCTGCTCATGAGCTCCCCAGCAAAAGCCCTTCACATCCCAGCTTTCCTGTCCCTCAGAGCTCCCTGTTCTCCTTGTTTCCTCCCTCAGGACCCCTCCAGAGCATCAGAATCCCTTCCTGTCCAGCCCCCTCCTCTGCTCCTGCCTCTCAGGGTTGCACGCTGATACCTGCTCCATGTTCAGGCTTCTCTAAATCTTCTTTGCCCTTGGTGCCCACATTTCCATGCATTTTTTTGCCTTGTCCTGTGTGGCTGTGCATCCACTTTTAGGCTCTAAGATGGGACAGTCCCACTGAGGCTCAGAATTGGAGCTCATGCCCTTCCCTGTGATTAAATACAGTGGGATTAAATATAGATTAAATACCTCGTGTCCCATAAGCTGGACCCACCATCACAGCACCTAATGCAGGAGGGGGTTTGCTCTCTGGGGTTGGAAGCAGGGGATCTTTGGAAGCAGGGGGCACTCAGGAGCCTTTGGTCTCCTGGTAGAGCTGGTGACTCTTCAGCAAACGGGGACTGTCCTGTGTGAGGGGTTTTCCTGGACCACAGGCCACATCCAGGCCAGGTTGGACAGGACTTGAAGCAAGCTGGTCTAGTGGAAGGACCTGCCCATGGCAGGGAGTTGGACTAGATGGTCTTCAAAGTCCCTTCCAACCCAAACGTTGGATTCTATAATCCATGGTACAGTTCCTTGTCTGTCTTCACATTCCCTTTGGGGCTGTCCAGAGATGGCAGTCTTTGGGATCCTTGGGATCACTGCTAGAGGACATTTGGGAGTGGAGTTGGCAATAGAAACATTTGCAATTAGCATCTCTCTCTTTTTTTTGCTTCCTTAGGCAGCTGGAGCGTGAGGGTTCCGCAGAGGGCCACTCTCCCTCCACACTGCCTGGCTGGACACGCAGCTTGGAGAGCAGCTCGGTCTCCTCGGACCTCTACAGCAACGTCTCATTCCTAAACCTGCACGTTGGCATCTAGTGAGCCCTGGCCAGGCCCTCTGGACAAACTGGGCAGCCTTTCCCAGCAAAAACCAGTCCTCTGCCCCACTTTGGGGGAAAGCCCTGTGCCTGTGCCGTGGGGGTGCGTGTGTGGGGCAGAGCTGTGCTCGGGAGCCACCAGCATGGGCTGTCACCTCCTTGCAGGTCCAAAGCACTGCTGTGCCCCTGGCACAGTCCTGCCTCTGCCATCTGCTTCATCGGAGTTTGGGGAATGAGATTCCCATCCCCAGAGCTGAGGGGACTGGAGCGTCCATCTTTCGAGGGAAGGCTGAGGGAGCTGGGACTGTTCAGCCTGGAGAAGAGACAACTTGTCCCCCAAAGGGACCTTATGGATGTATCTAAGTGCTTTTGTAAGGGCCTGGAGTGACAGGACAAGGGGGAATGGCTTCCCACTGCCAGAGGGCAGGGTTAGATGGGATACTGGGAAGAAATTCTTCTTTGCGAGGATGGTAAGGCCCTGGCACAGGTTGCTCAGAGAAGTTGCCATGGGCAAAGGCACCTTCCACTGGACCAGGTTGCTTCCAAGGCTCCATCTAGCCTGATCCTGAACACTTCCAGGGATGGGGCAGCCCCAGCAGAGGGATGAAAGAGTACTTTTGCAAACAAAACCAGGCTGGAGTGTCTGGTGGAACAGCAGCACGGGGAGGGATGGGGATGTTTAAAGGACCAAAGCTCCATCAGTGCTTCGCTCCATGAGGGTTCTCCTCCATTCACATCCAGAGTTGGTCCATGGATGATGGTCCATGATTCTAGATCATCTTTAAGGTCCCTTCCAACCCAAAACATTCTGTGAGAGGTGGAATGGGGAATCGCAGTCAGGGCCAGCTCTCCAGGAAGCTTTGGGCTGGTGGGATGCTCCCATGTGTCATAGCTCTGGGCACATCTTGTAGTACCGAGAGGATGATGAAGGGCTGGATGGCCCTTTCCTTGCTGCTGGCCTGAGAGGGAGGATGGATTCATATTCCATATTCTGCCACAACCTGTGCCCAGTACTGGTCTAAAGGCACCAGAGCCTCAGGGCTGGGCTCTTATTTTGCAAAGGTCTCTTCCCTGAGGATGGGTACAGTTGGGATGGGTGGGGAAGTATTTCCTGGAGGAGTGTGTGCTGTGAGATAGCTGGTGAGACCTCCCGGGTCTCTGGTCTCTGATAAGCTCCAGAGACCAGCAGTGCTGTTGGGTCTGTGGGAGTGGATAAGCTCGGGACACCACGGGGCTGCTGAAGGTTCCTGAGGTCACCAGCACACCCGAGTGTCCACTGTGAAACCAACACCATGTCCAGCGGCTGGGCTGGGTGGGATTGTACCTGCTGCAAGAGCAGCCCCTCTGGGGACCTTCCAAATTCCTTCTTGGAGTGGTAAAACGATGGCACAGGTTGCCCAGAGAAGCTGTGGCTGCTCCATCCCTGGAAGTGTTCCAGCCTAGCTGGACAGGGCTTGGAGCAACCTGGGACAGGGGTTGTAACTGGATGGGTTTTAAGGTCCCTTCCAACCCACATCATTCCTGACTCTGTGATTCTGTGGATGAGACAGGGATGCTGACACATGAGGCAGCTCTTTGCAGGAAAAGTCCTGTCGAAGTTCACTTTCCCAGCGCCACAGAGGGGGCAGGGAGGGCATGTGGGGCTCACTGGGAAGCACCATCTTTCTCCTTTTGCTACCAAAACTATAAAAATCACTGTAGGGTGTTTCTCCCGCCACATCAGAAACCTAAAACTGCTCAGTGCCGGTGGGATATCGCTGGAAACTCCACTTGAGGGCAGCCCAGCACCGGCCTGCCCACGGCCTCCCTGAGCTGCATGGACACACTTCTGCCTGAAGGAGCAGCCGGCTGGCGCTGCGGGAACACACCAGCGCTTGCTTAGAGCTGCTCTCTTTCAGCCTCACAAAATAAACCCCGTCCCCAATCAGCTGCAAAGCTCATTCAGGGAGCCCTGGCATTGCTCCGAAGAGTCCAGTGGCTTTTGCCACGCTCCAGGTTCTGTTCTCGTGGGCTCTTTGCCCTGGTTGTTGTTGGGTTGTTAATGTTTGGGGGTGTCTGTTGTTGTTGAGGGGGTGGTGGCTGTTTTGGGGGGTGGTGGCTGTTGTGGGTGGTTGGTGTTTCAGGGGCAGTTGCTGCTGTTGGAGTGGTTCTGGCTGGTTCTCAGCACCAACCCCACCAAAACTGTCTTGAAGCACTCAGCACTGGTGGGGTTTCACATCTGAAGTCAAGCTTAGGGTTTGTGTGAAGGGCACAACAGGGAGTATCTGCAGGAGTGGGATCAACTGCTCGGATTCATGAGTGATTTTAGGGGCAACGGCAAAGAAAGCAGGGCCCATTCCCTTCTTTTTTTTTTAATGCCCGTGTCTACCCTCATGCTGCTGAGCAGGATCCAGGGTGCTGCCCAGACACTGAGCTCTGGGCTTGA